CCCCAAAACCCCAAAACCCCTTAGTTATAGTTGAATACATTTAGGAGAAATTATGTAATATATAAATATCGGCATAAATGGTTCTACATCTCAATAGTAACTTAAAATTTCTTTTAGTTTTATTACTCTTATTGCAAGTTACAACAATAAACTCAGACTAAATAAAATCAATTAAAGATTGTGACATTTAAAATCTTCTAGGACCAGTTAAAAATTTAAACCCCGATGAAATTCTGACAATAGAATAAATAATTCATTTTGATACATTCTCCAGAGTTTAAACTCATTTTCAATACATTTTAGACGGAATTTATAAGAATTTCTGTCAGTCAAGCAAAATTACTAATCTTATTAATGTTGCCTTATCTAGAGAGTCTCAAAGTTAGCTTGAAAGTACAGATTTCATTTTGATCGAAGTCATATTTGAAAAGAATTTAAAGGAAGATCAAAATGATTTAAAGAATTAGCTATATGAGTTCAGGTAGTAGCTCAGAAATATTTTAGGAGTTCTTAAGCTATCTGAAAATAAAAAGATACAATCCAAACTTTATACCGTTTAGGAAAAAGAGACTAAGCTTTAAGATTTAAAAAAACGAAATTTAAAAGGTCAAACTGGCCAGAAGCTCTCAGATATATTTGACCTTGAGAAATATCACTCCAAAGGTATAAGAGGAAAGGGGATCAAGATTGCGATTTTCGATAGCGGTCTCTCAGAAGTCTTTTCTAAAGATTTCGATTACTCTGATGGAGATTTTCTCAAAGTTAAAAAGATTATTAACTTTAGTCATGACCGCTCTTCCAAGGACTCACTAGGTCATGGTACATTTATCTCAGGGGTTGTTGGAAGTTTAAATAAAGAGTGCCCAGGCATCGCACCAGATTCTGAAATTTATGTTCTGAAACTATTCACATCCGACAGAGTTTCATATACCTCCTGGTTTCTTGATGCGTTCAATTATGTGCTGCAGAATGGAATCGACATTGTCAACTTATCAAATGGCAGTAGTGATTTTCTTGATATACCCTTTATAGAGAAGATAAATGAGTTAACTGCTAATGGAGTTGTTATTATCTCTGCAATTGGAAACGAAGGGCCATTTTAAGGCACACTCAATAATCCAGGGGATCTTGTCAATGTCATTGGAATTGGTTCTCTAGATTATTCATAGACCAATGTGGCTTCATTTTCTTCAAGAGGAATGACAACTTGGTCAATTTTAGATGGTATTGGAAATATGAAGCCAGATTTGATAACAGCCGGCTCAATGATAATGGGATTAGGAATACAAAAAGAGAATGAATGCACCTTAAACTCAGGAACTAGTGTTTCAGCATCAGTAATAACTGCATCAATAGCCCTCACCTTATCTGCTTTTGAGGATTAAATTGAAAGAAAAAGGATTTAAAATACTGCATTCATTAAATAGGCAATGATTAGATCAACTAAAAAACTTAAGAATCTCTCAATTACTGAGTAAGGTGCAGGAGTCTTTGATTTAGATGCATTTTTCAACTATATAATCAATAATAATCAAAGGAAGAAAGCAATGCTTCACCCAAGTAAAATAGACTTGAGAAAGAATTAAACGTATTATCTGCCATTCAGCAGAACAAGTATTTACTCTACTATGATGCCTATTTCTTTTAACTTAACTCTAATAAACTAGGAATCTCTACATTCAACAATTCTGTCAACCCATTACGATTATAGTGGAGAGGATAATTTAGATCTAGATATGATAAGAAAATGCTTGAAACTAAGTTTTGAATACCCATAAATGATCTGGCCATATTTTGGCAATATCAGATTAATACTGAAAACTGAGGAATAAGAAGAATGCTAATCATTCTCAGCAAGTAATATTGAACTAAAGCTTTCTCTTATTTTGAGGAATTTGGGTTAAACTACATCATCAAGAGATATAAAATTTAGACAAAAAGAATTGCAAAATTTTGAACAAGTAATTTTCAAACTTATATTTGATTATATTCCAACTCCACCAAGAGAGAAAAGATTACTAATTGACCAATTTCATAGTTTAAAGTATCCAGAAAACGGTTATATTTTAAGAGATAGTTTACTAAATTCGGATTATCCTTATGAATGGTATGGAGATCATATTTTCACAAATTATGTTTAAATGCATTAAAAGCTGATAGAGTCTGGATTTTTCATTGAGATACTATCAGAAAGCTTTAGCTGCTTTAACTCGAAATACTACAAGGTGCTGCTTATAATTGATCCTGAGGATTACTTTAGCAAAAAAGAAATAAAGAAAATTAGACATGATATTGAATAAAATTCGCTCTCTGTTATTGTGATGGGAGATTGGTATAATCAAGAGCTGATGAAGAAAAATAAATTTTTTAATAACAATACTTTTGAAGTTTGGACTCCTTTTATGGCTGGATCAAATATCCCATCTTTGAACGCTCTTTTAGAGCCATATCATATAGCTTTTGGGGAGAAAGTCTATTCTGGCGAGATATACTTAGATAAAAGACAAATAATGATAGACTCGGGAACTGAAATTATTTAGTTTCCTAAAGATGGGTATCTGCTAAGTGCAAAGTTATCTGAAGAGTCCAATTAGATCTTAGCTAATGGCTTGATATTTGAGGAGGCTTTTTATCAGACAAAGGTTGACCTTAATATAGATAATAGTGAAAAGTTAGCTCCAACTATCGGAATCATCGACAAATTGAATAATATGAATAATAGCGGTAGAATAATAGTAATGACTGATTCTTCTTGCATTGATAGTGCAAGTCCTTCATTAACAAAATGCTTTTGGTTGATTGATAAATTTGTAAAAATTGCTGTTGGAGAAATAGATAAAGACATAAGTCTAATGAGCAGTAAATATAAACTGCCGAGTGATTATGCAAGTAATGAGAGACCTACCTATTAGACTTATGAAGATCTCGACTTCAATAAACTTAGTTCACTGAATAAGCTAGCTCATTTGAATTCATAAAACTAAGAGTGCAAAAATAAAATGAGTCATTAGATCTAAAATTCTGAACTGTACTAGCCATTTACACATTCCTAATCTGAGGAGGTGGTTTATGAATGGACAGCAAGCCCAGACTCTCCAGATATATCTAACTAAATGTTTTTCTTTAGATGGATCAGATTAGGAGTATCAGGCTCTATTAATCTTCTCGATGGAATATTCTCAAATAGATAAGTCTTTCCAGTTATTATAACTGGAATTCTTATGGTAGTAGTGTTCTACTTAATTATCAAAAAGCTATTCTGTAAAAAATAATAAGTTCAAAAGAGTGGAAGGATGTTCTGGATTCTAAGAAGAGATGCTAACAACTTTGACTAGGCTGGCATAGACTCCGAAACTTCTAGTAGCATGAGTATGTGCAGTGAGGATGAGTTTATTAACAATTAGGAGAGATATGATTTATGATTTTAATATATTCATAATAATATTATTAGATTATATTTATGATTTCTTATTAAACTCCCGGGGTTTTGGGGTTTTGGGGAGATCGGAAGAGCACACGTCTGAA